TCGGAGTAAAAAGGTAAAATTAAAAACCACGTATTAATTGAGCTTTTATAAATTAGCAGCAAGACGAATACTTTTGGATATATATTAGCTATCCGCTAATGGTCATTAATACTTTTGGCATAACGACTGTGTCCCCCATTCTTGGTGATGCACGCAAAACGTAAGGGTTTGGGAAGCCACTTACAGGTTCAGCCATCAGTGCTAGGAATAGTATCATTCCATGTTCTTGCCCCCGATGCGGTATAGAATGCACAAGCCCCTCTGGTTACATCTAGTTTTTGGCCAGGTTATCCTAACAATTACATAGTGGCGCCTTCTTTGACACTCGGGTGTATTTTTACTGACATTTCTTTGCAAAAGTTAAGTACTATGTACCTCTTCTAGACCATTTCTTCTCACTACCCATCAACCTACCGATAGCATCTATTTTCAATCATTACAATGTTATATTCTCATTTTTGTCTTACTTTTGGAAGGTGAGAGGGGTATATGCCTGTAGCCACTAGAATACTCCGTTTCTGAGAAAGAAAGAAAAATACTGTATAAATAAATAAATAAATAAAAAAAACGTTGAGTAAAACCCATGATCAAGCGAAGCTGTTGATGAAACATCACGCAAGCCATACTGCTTGTCTCATGATAATGATACAGGAAGGAATGCTCTTTGCAACTTGTCTTGCAACTTTACTGCACATACATTGCAAACATAAAAAGTGCATTGCAGTTGCACCAATTGAGGGCCTGGATATTTGCTTTGCGATCACTCAAAATCAATGCCATTTATTCATAAGCATTCTTTAAACAGATTAACTATAAAACAGGTTTTTTTATTTGCTAGTATAAATTGCTCGGCAAATTGCGGAACTTTTATGTATCAGATGCAAGATTGCCCAATTCAACACTGCATTGCAGCGCGTCAACCTTGCAAAAAAGATCAAGACATTAGATTACCGTACAATAAATGCTGCGTTGTATAAATAATAACAATTACCGAATCGATTATACTGTAAGTCTTTACTTCCTTTCTTCCCAGCATCTCCGCTACCATTACCGCCTTGCTCTTGCTCATCCCAAGTTAGAATGTCCTACAACAAAATAATATCAGTTAGCAGCATATTCATGAAATTTATCTCAAGCGTATAAACAGGCTAGAGCAAAAGAAGCCAGCAAAAGTGGAGGTACGACTCGTATAGAGATACTTTTAAARAAGCGCGACTTCAAATTTTAAGAAATCCTAAAGTTTTGTTTTACTGTGTTTATAAAATTTGGGCTCTCAGCGCGCGCGTGCAAAAAAAAAATAAAATAAAATAAATAAATAAAAACACGTCGATATGGCTAATCGATTCGAGAACACATGTGAAGTTCTGAATTATCGATTCCACTGATGACAAATTTACAAGCGCACGCGCAGATATTTTGCAGCCAAATATATAATATTCATGTAATTGTCTGTGCACAAATCGACACGGTTATATGACAACCGCGAAAGCATTTGTTTGAAGATGTACTATGCCTCACTTTTAATCCTCTCCGTAAGCACTTTATTTAATAGTTTTGCTTTGGCTTACCTTTTGAGGTGGTGGCCCCTTTTTCACAAGAGGCGAAGAAGGTTTTTCAGCGAAACTTTTCGGGTCATAGTGGATGGAGTAAGACGTCTTTGTGTAGGTGTCATCTACTTGATGTTGGAGTATCATGTCTCCTGTGAGATTAGTAATCTTGGGGAAAACGAGAGCAGAGTCTTCATGTTGTCGTTTGCGCTGTTGTGCCAAGGTATTTCCAGAACGTTTCCCTGTCATATTGTAGCGAACGAACTATTCTTTCATTGAAGAATAGCTTGAAATGGCTCAAGTTGTTCGGTTGAAGTTTTACCTTGAAGCCATTTTGTACGCTTGTTTCAATCCATTTGATGTAAACGAGAGAGTACGTCACAGAGCTTATTAGTCAATGTAATGACTTCATTARAAGTTAATTACGCTACTCAAGTGATTTTCACATTAAATTTGTTAATTGAAAAACCTAACACAGGAAGCCCAGTTACGATATATCGTTTTCATGGAAATGCTGATAACGCTCAACCAAATGTCAAAATGGCTTTGAACAGTGCGAATGATTTTTCTTGATTTATCTAACTATTTCTCACAGACTAAGCATGTGTTCCGCCGTATATTTAATACTGGCATCAAGAGGAAAGATGCACTAAATTGCTACATGAATACATAGTTAATAGTTACTATGTTTAAATTTAGCATCAACAAGACTAACAAAAATAACAAAAATGGTCATAAGCTTGCATAGTTATGTTAACGTAACAAGCATGACCGCTATGCGTCCTTGTCGTCCTGGTTGTTATGCTTCAGGACTTACCAACACCTCTTTTTGGTAGTGCTTACTAGCCTGTCACGGCTCTGGGGTCTCCTCGGTGCAGCAACAGTTGAGTAGATAGTGGTTTGGTCTCTCCTTTTTGCAGCACGTTCTTAGTGTCGGTCCGAAAATCCCTAAATAAGGACGGCTGCAAAAGAGACTATCCTTTCTGCGGATTCGAGTCAGATTAGCCCGGTTCCCGGTTTTTCTCCCTTCACAAAACACGCTAAAAAAACGCGGTAAATTCCAATTCCATCTGTGAATTAGCCAAAACTTTAATTTTAATAGACTTTTAACTTTAATAGATCAGACCAGAGGTTGTTTCATATATCGATAAAGCCGATCAGTGAAATTCAGGGTGAATTTTTTTTAGTTTTTCCAAATCCACGCACGACAACAGACACACGTGACAGCAACGTGACTTAAGCCAGCGATAACCACCAACCAGCGGTAATATCCCACCAATAAACAAGATTTCAAGATGGACGTCGGTGAAGCAACGTCGAACTTCACCAAAAGACTCGCCGAAATGCACCCATTAGAAGATATATCGGTAAAATATTTCTAACCAGAAAGAAAGTCTGTCATCTTAGGAACCTAAAAGTGAATATCTTTTTGGATTTCAGGTCAATTTTTTGGTTGGAATAGTGTTTTTAGTAATAGTGGTTTTGCTAATCTTCTTCATAAGGAAGCTACGACGAAAAGGTACTACGCAGCGATACAACTATTTTATTAATATTTCATTCTRTGAATACTTGGAATTATGAATTTAAAGGGTTTATTTTATTGTTCTCTATGTCAGCTGCAGCCGTAATTCCTGCAGTTAAAGAAGTTTTAATCCCTGAAGCCAAGCCAAGGTTTCGTAAAAGAGACAAAATGATTTTCTACGGGAAAAAAATGTTACGAAAGGTAGGTCTTGTTGAGGGAAAATACTTTAGACTTTCCGTGTCGTCAAAGCAAAAAACACGTGTTTTTTCCAGTAATCCTATACAGAAATATTTTTTATTTAATTCAGCTAGTAACAGCCTTGCAAGAGTATTATTCAGGGATATTTCATCTCAAAAAGAACAAATGGCGACAGTTCTTGCTCCGATGAGCTCGCGTTACAAACGATTTTCTTTCGAAAATCTGGCGAATGAAACTAAAAATTTAACGCCATTTTTATTCAAAGGAAAAGAGATGTACATGACCTGCTTGGTCTAAAACCTTGGAAAATTTAGATTGGCGAATTTTGTATAATTCTATCGATATAACAGTGAAGATTAAGCCGTGTTTTGGTGGAGTTAACCTGCATGAATACTTATGCGAAGATGGATAAGAAAAAGTTTGTGCCAGAATTAATTTACCTAGCAGAATAATTCGAAAGTCCTATTAAATTTTCAGTGAGATTATAAGCTTATTTATGTTCATTTTTTTGGGATATTATCTCGTTAATCATGGCCATTTCAATACCGGTAACTCAATTCACAAACCTTGCCTTTCGTTGTGAGAATAATAATTTGTTTACAAAATAAAACACAARAGGATCAAATCTTGTTTGACCGGAACGAAAACAAGAGCTTTTGAATGGCTAATTGGAAAACAGTTTTGCTGGTATCACAATTAAATACTAAGTATTTTATTGGATATTTCGTCTTTAAATGCAGGTAAGACAGTTGTCAGAAGAAAGAGATGAAGGATATAGAAGGAAAATAAGAAAACGACAAAAAGTCATGTTCAACTTTGCAAAAGAGTAAGTCCTTGATGTAGTTTTATGGCTGTATTACGAAAAACAATATCACATGCAATATTTGTCTCTGGAAAAAAAGTTTGCAAGTTGCACAAGCATTTTCACGTTTTACATCCCCTTCCATGCTTGAATTTTTTATATTTCTTTCTGCACAAAAAGTAAAACCGGCTTCTTTTTTTTGCAACAATTTTTGGAACCAATGTTAGCTCTGTTTATATTCATATTATCATATTATTATTTCTCAATTGACACGGTTTTCTTTGTTATTCATTTATTGTTTTTGTTATAACCCTCATTATAAATGCGAGGTCAATATGTAGTTAGTATTTAACCTGGTTAATAGAGAGTTTTAGATTTATGTTCACGTCAAACGTGAAACGTCAGTTGACCAGTAAAAAATTCTTTTAAATTATTGAAAACGAATCGCAAAAAAGTCCAAGTAGTAGAAAAACAAAAGAGTATTTGCAATTGGTGAGGTTTGTAAAAGGTAAAGTAAAATGAAGGAAAACTATGAAAACATGGTCACGTTTGCCGTTTGGGGGGAGAAAAAAAAGTCAATCTAAAACTCTCTAATAACTATAATATAGACTTCGCATTTATAATGAGCAACATTTGATAGAAAACCTTCTCAATTGATAAATAAATACTTAATTACCTCGAACGTCAGCAATAAGCCTATACATCCCTCAGGCCTGCGGCCCATGGGGTGTTTATGGCTTATTGCCTCCGTTCTCGGTAATTAACTCTTACTCAAATAATTCATTATCAGATTATATAATGCATGATTGTTACTGACAGTTTGATCATTTGTATAGGAAATCACACAATCTCGAGTACAATTCAGATTTTAATGTACGAGTGATGTTTTGAAAGTTTTCAAAAATGGATGAGCCTTTAGGAGAGTCCAATTTGAGAAATTTCATAACATCATGAGTATCTATAAATTCCGGATTGTATAAGAAGATTATGTTTAAGCAACTTAATTGGGACTTTTCAGAGTACAATTTGGGATTTAATTTTACTCTTCTTGTCTAATCAGAATCTAGTAATTTTTTAGAGTGTATTATAACCATCTGAAATAACTAATACTGACTGTTTTGCTGACTAATTAATATTTAACAATTATTATAGAAGTGATTATCGGGGATTATGAAATAACTGTTATGAATGTCGCATTCTGATTGGTTTGGAGCGCATGCTTTATGAGAGCACATTGCACCCGCGCGCACTTTCCATTGCGTCATTTCTATATTATTGTAATTTGTATTTTATAAAAGAAATAAAAAACTTGCTTGCTGTGCTGTGTGCAGTCATAAAGCACTTGGGGATTGGCAGAACACTCGAGAAGTGTCCAGAAGCACACCACTACGCGTCGTGCTTCTCCTAACACTTCTCTCGTGTTCTGCCAACCCCCGCTTGCTTTATGACAGCACACATCACACGCGCACATTTTCTATTTCTTAAAAAATACTAAGGGATAATAAAATGTTGTCATGCACAGCAACACAGGGAGCCTAGTTAAAGAAAAAAGGAAAGTGAGACAGTTTTGTCACTGTTGCTGACACAATTTGCATACATGCATGATTTGTGCCATTTTTGCCACTTTTTTCATGTGGTTCATGAATATAGTTGTGGGCATGTAAGTGATCAGTGTAGAAATTTGAATTCTTGGAAAAAATATAYATATTGAAGAAATAGAAAACACGTTCACTTGCTGTGTGCAGTTATAAAGCAAGTGGAGGTTGCCAGAACATGAGAGAAGGGTTTAAGGAGAAGAAACCTAGGAGAAGCATGACGCTTAGCGAAGTGCTTCTTGACACTTTCGAATGTTGTGCCAATCCCCAAGTGCTTTACGACTTCACACACACAGCAAGTAAGTTTTTTATTTCTTTTATAAAATACAAATTACAATAACTGTTATTTTAGATAGGAATGATGCAACTAAAAGTGTGCCGACGTGCTGTGTACTATCATAAAGCACACACTCACAACCAATCAGAACGTGAGATTTATAACAGCTATTTTRTAATTATGATACCTTAGTTAGCAGAATTATATATAATTTTTAGGAAAACAAAGGTAAACAAAGAATATTGAACTGTGTTTTTGCTTGATATTTYCATTTGCATATCTTGGCTTCAAATACAAAACAGTCAATATATAAGTTGATTTTTATTCCCCTCTGGTTATTTTATTTGCGAAAGATTCCAATTGTTTTTTTAGATGAGTGGTACAGCATATGCCAACTGTCAGTCATAAATGATTATTTAACAGATGACAGAGTTACCTAAATAAGACTTCTATTATGTTAATATGTGTTACATGTATCATGACTTTAAAATTTCCAGTAGGGATTTTTCTTTGAAATAATATTAATGTATACAACTTATTTGGATTAAAGAAAAATTCACAGTGTTCCTAAGTAGGATGGTCTTTATATTTTTCTGAAATCATATTTTAAAAGTAAATTAAAATATCTGTGGGTGATTTTGCTATTAGGCCCAACCCTTTTTGGACAGGATAGTATACTTTCATTGCATCCTACTACAATAAGGCACCTGTTAAGGCCTACATTCTACCTGCCTCAAACTCTAAACATTATCTATTATCTATGTAAATAATTGATGCAGGCACTTCACATAGGTTTTGACAAGTTGGACTTGTTTTGGTGGCAACTGAAATTCTACCTTGGAAAATCATCTTCTTATTTCCTCTGTAATATTTAGCCATTTTTAAATCTAATTTCCATGTGGAAAAGAAATGTGACTGCAAAATAATTACCCTAAAAATCCTGGGTTGTCTATTTAATGAGTTAAGAAAATTTGCAGACTGTGCGAGAGAGAGAATTAATTTGATGGAGACAGTTCCAGACTTTGCAAGGGATTTTGTGAATACTTGTCTGAATGCTAACTTGGTGTCTTCTTGCTTTGAATGGCCTTTTAGGTAAGAGAATTTCTTTTTTATGATCCTAGTTCTTGGTTTTTGGAGCAAATGTACAGGAATCTTGCAACGACAAACCTTAATTTTGCAATCAGCCCCTCTAAAATAGAGCAATTTAATTTCAATATTTTCAAGTCCGTTTTGTCTTGATTTTGCAATAAATAGAATATTTAAATGCCATGCTTTTGATAATCAAATTTATTTGTTTTCTTGGATGTTGGAAAAACCCTTGATTTGCAGCTCACTCACAGAGTTTGAATACACTTACAAAATTAATAATATTTGACAAGCATAGTGTTTATGTTGCAAGCATGACTGAGCTCCCTGTCATTTAATATCACTTGCACACATATGATGACTTTAATTTATTATTTAATTACAATAACTTACTCTGTGTTATCAAACATCTAAAAGTTCTTTGGCTTCATTGATTTCTGTATCTTTGTACTTAAAATTTCTAGATTTTCAGATTAACTTAAAATAATAAAAAAACGTAAATAGAAGCCTTTATATGTCAAGCATTTTTACAGTCAAAAAATTTTCATTATGAGACATTTTTACCTTTAAGTCAGAGTTGTATTTATCAATTTGATATTACTTATTTTTAAATAAAAAAGTCAGAATTGTATTTAATGATATTTATTTATTTTTTTGTGAATATAAGGATGAGAAGAAAAAAAAAATCATTATCTTTCTGTACTAATGAGTCCATGATGACAAGTTTAATCTTGTGCATTGTACCTTGGTATATTCAATGACACAGTTAACTTTCTATCTGCTATTCCCTGGACATTGTCAAGTAGCCATTTAATATATAGAGGATATTACATGGCCATACAGAGATACAGTTTTTATCTTCGAGTGTAAACTTAAAGGGGATATCTTACAAGTGAACAAAGCAAACAAGTAAGGTAAATGTATTCTCGACAAAAGAAGATAAAATCTGTATCTTCTTCACATGTGAAGATACTGCATTATGTAATATCAGTTATATTTTCATATGTTGAGGTATCACTTTTTTGTAATAGAGAAATATTTCATTGATAATCATATATTAAATATATACTTAAGGAATATAAAGCGGTGAGCTTGTCTATTATACAGTGATATAAACATGATGGAAGCTGAGAGAAATAGAGCAAGAGAGATGTCGTAGAGAAACATGTCATTTTGATTTCTTGAGTGCTCTACAGCTCCCAGAGTGTTTATATCAGAATATAGACACAAGCAAACGTTTTATATCACTTTTATAAAACACTTTTGAATGATTTTGCGCGATCGTGTCTCTGTCCTCAGGTAAAAACAAGGTAGCCAGCCAATTAGCAAGCACGTTATATCTTAAATATTTTATGAATGATAAAGATAATGTAAATATATATATATTATAAAGTATATTAAGAATAACATACATTATATAATTTTTATTATTCAGGCTGTTGAGGTTTGATGAACATGAACCAGAAAGACAGATCAAGGAGCCTCCTCCTGCATTCCTGGAGGCTGACTCAGCTGAGGTAATTGAATTACGAGCCTGTCAATCTAATCTGTACTTGTTTGACATTAGGCCATGAATTTCTTTCTTGAATTAAGTGTTTATTCGTCATTTTATTTTACATTGTGATGTGGAGTCTAATGTTGCCAAGTCTCCCTAGCCTGAGGGTAATGTGTAGTTCAAGAAATTATCCATACCCACCCCAGAGAAAGAACAAAAATTACAGAGTTTGTATGGAAGAAAATTAGAATTTCTGGGGGGTAGGGGGGTGTCTTATAAAAATTCCTCTGTGAGGGGGTATGGATAATTTTTGGAACTACACAATGTTAAACTATACAACACATTCTACACTAACTACAACTACGACTTTTAATGTTTTAAGGCACACAATACTCAACTCATGGACCTCATGATATTACAGGCTTTTTGTAGCACACTGGAAATTACAAATCCTTTGTATTCATTGTCCTTCAGGTTGACATTAACGAGCCACAGCTTCCTCCTGAAGTTATATACATGTTCAAGAGTGTCAGGTTTGTTCATGCCATTAATATATTATTTATTTTAATATCTAGTGACTAGTTGACCTATAAAATAGGACATTTCACGGATCCCATTACTCAACCTCGGCCTGGTCAGCTTGTAATTATTCTTTAGAATTTGACTACAGTCTGCAGTAATGAAAGGAATTTACACATCAATGAACAATTGAAACACTTAAAAATTTCACAGGTTGTAGGCAATTTCTAAAGAATATGTTACATGCTGACGAGGCTGAGGTTGAGTAATGGGATCTGTGAAATGGTCTATTGTATGTTTACCTTTAATCTACTTACTCACACACAACATTGTTTCCTTTCACCCCATAGGGTATTTGGTCATTTTGAAAAGCCTTTGTTCTTTGAGCTCTGTAAATACATAGAGACCAAGTCTGTGCCTGCAAATGGAATGCTATTCAAGCAAGGACTGGTAAGGATGTCCTTTCAACAATACGCCATTAATTTTGCATTAGGTCACACGAACCTAAATACCCCYCCCCCCCCCCCCACACGCACATTTATGACAAACAGTTTTAATGAAATTAACATCACAATTAATAAAAGAAGTTTGCTGTCCAGCCATTTTTCCCATACAAATCCTTATATACTTTTTTTGATTTTGCTTCCCTCAACACTTATTTGCATGTCTCCCTGCTATTTGCTGTACATCTTTATAAAAATCTTGTGGTAACTTTTTTTTCTGTTGTGCATTTTTTTTTTATTCAGGGTGATGATTCTATTTACGTGGTACAAAATGGAAAAGTCTGTGTTTCCTTGATTGAAAAGGTGTGTATGAAACAGCAACAGCAAATACCTACATCATGGACATGTATCGAGTCATCAGGGATATATTGAAGCCGGGTCAGGTGCATTGGTGAGAGGAGAGCACTTTCACTGCACATATGTCTCCACCCATCCATGCTTCTGGCAAATCAGTTGGCTTCTTTAGTAATAATAATAATAATAATAAATTACATTTATAAAGCGCAGATTAGCACAAGATGTTCATCTGCGCTGAATACAGAAACAATACACAATA